TACTATTCTATGTGTCCTACAGATTATATTAATTCATTTAATTCTCACCACTGACTCATGAGGTTGTAGTATTATTCCTTTATAGGTGGAGACCCTGAGATATGGAAAAATGAAGTAACTAGCTTCTGGCTAAGCTGCAGACCCAAGATTTGAATGTACACAGTCTGTTTGAGACTCAGTGTCCCCAACCACTACTCTATACTGCTCCCTATTAGGCAAATTACATTACCCCCATTCATTTCTTTAACAACCATTTCCTGAGCACCTTCTGTGTACCAGCACTGCACAAGGTTCTGAAGATACAGTGAGGAAGGATACGACCCTGATCCTTCAGGCACCACTGACAATCTAGTAGGGAAGATGTCATAACACAGAGCCCTAGGTTGGAGGTGTGCAGACAGCGCTCGGGGAATGGGAAGGAAGGGCAATCAAAAGAGGCTTGCTAAAGGAGGAGACCCCTAAGTCTCAAGGTCCCATTGGAAGGTAGACCAGGGGGCCATAGATAAGATAAAAGGGTAGGGAAGGGTGCTCTAGGTGGAGGAAGTCATGAGTGCAAAGACTGAGGTATACCAAACAGCTCACATGCAGAATAAGAAGCAGTTCAGTGTAGCATGGGAATGGAACAGTTACAAGGGATGAGGTTGGTGCACCAAGAAAAGTCAGATCTCCAAGGGTTTTTCTGCCATGTAGAATTTGAAATTGAACCTGAAAAAAAAATGAAATTTAATTTAATTTTTTTAGAAGATTTTATTATTTGAGAGAGAGAGCGAGAGAGAGCATGAGCAGGGGGAAGAAGAGGGAGAAGCAGGCTCCCCGCAGAGCAGGGAGCCTGACATGGGGCTCGATCCCAGGACCATGGGATTATGACCTGAGCTGAAGGCAGACGCTTAACTGACTGAGCCAGCCAAAAAATGCCCCCCAAAATGGCTTTTTAGAAAACAGGTAGTGAACGAATCAGAAAGTATACAACTAAAAGCGAGGCATCCATTTTGCAGGTAACACAGTGAGGGTCCACATGACAGACCTACCGCAGGGCAGTGAGGATGGAGAGGGGTCGGAGTCAAAGGCATTTGGGAAGCAGAACCCACAGGAGGGGGGGGTGCTGAATGCAAAGCAAAAGAGGAGACAGGGGCCCAGTGTGACTCTGGTTCTGGCTGAGGAAGTAGGGGATGGTACCATTCAATCAGATAAGGAACACAGAAGGCATGATGCTGAATTGGGGGCCCTCTGAGTTTGAAGTACCTGTGAGACATCCAAGGAGAGCTACTTTCGCTGGATCTGCTGGATTTAGGGGAAGAGGTCTAGGTGGTAGGGCTAGATTAGGAAATTATCAGCATTTAGGTACATGGAAGCCTTGAGGGTGACGAGAAGCTGGGGTAGCACCAGTATTCACAGGACCTACCTATGAGGAAGCAGAACCAAAGATGGAAGCTGGAAAGGAGGAAACCCTCGAGAAGTGGGTATCACACAAGCTAAGGGCAGTTTTAAGAATGATGACACGTCATAGAGCCAAGGGGGTCTACTTCTTGTCTACATATCTAACTCCCCACCAAGACGGTCACCTGAGAACAGGGTTGTGCCTGATTCAGCTCTGTCCTCCCCCAGCAGTAGGCACTTCATATAAGAGGATTAAGGAAATAATAAAAACCAACATTTATTGAGTGTATACTTGTGACACTAAACATTTTGCATGGAGGATCTCATTTAATCCTTGCAACCACGTTATTAGGAATGATCTTTTATTATTTATTTATTTATTAAGATTTTATTTATGTATTTGACAGAGAGAGACACAGCGAGAGAGGGAACACAAGCGGGGGGAGGGGGAGAGGGAGAAGCAGGCTTCCCGCGGAGCAGGGAGCCTGATGCAGGGCTCGATCCCAGTGACCTGAGCCGAAGGCAGACGCTTAACGACTGAGCCACCCAGACACCTCAGGAATGATCTTTTTTTTTTTTTTTTAAATGGAATATTATCAAGCTTAAAAAGAAAGAAAAATCTGCAATATGGGACAAATGGATAAACCTCGAGGACATTATACTAAGTGAAATAAGCCAGCCACAGAAGGATAAATACTGCATGATTCTACTTACATGAGCCATCTAAACCAATCATATTCATAGAATCTGAGTAGAGTGGTGGTTGCCAGAGCCTGGGGAGAAGGGGAAATGGGAGTTGCCAGTCAACAGCATAATTTCAAAATTTTTTTTTTAAATTAAAAAACAATAAAGAGTGGATACCTGGGTGGCTCAGTAGGTTAAGCATCTGCCTTCAGCTTGGGTCATGGTCCCAGGATCCTGGGATCGAGTTCCGCATTAGGCTCCTTGCATTAAGTTCCTTGCTCATCGGGGACCTTGCTTTTCCCTCTGCCTGCTGCGCTCCCCCCACCCCGCTTGCGCTCTCTCTCTCTCTCATTCTCTCTCTCCCCCCCTGGAAAAAAAAAGAGTTGCTCTTTAATTTTAGGGTCACATTTCAACTTTTGAGATCATATGAGTACCCCTAAGGGGAGTGCCTAGACAATCTGATCTTCCTTAGCCCACCCCTAACAACCTGGTCCAAGGTCCAACCTGAAGAACTTTGACTAGATCAACTTAATTCTCTCTTTCTGGCTCTACCAAAGATAATAGCCCACCTTCTGGGCCACAGTGGAGAGGAGAAAATTTGTGTGAATAAGTACTACTATTGAAGTCTTTGTGTGCACTCATGCAAAATCAGAGAAGTGATACAACACAGTCCCTGTCTTAAAAACACATTCCCTATGCTTTGGGGGGTGAGATCTGCACACTGCAAATGATGAGTACGAGACAATGTGAGCCACCTCATGAAAAATTATTTAAATTAACTCACTAATTAATTTTGTATGCTGAAGGGATGAATGACAATAACAGGGTAAATGCCTCAGCAGTGCACAGATGGAAGAGCCCACTGTGAGCCAGAATCTGGTTAACTTGAGCCAGGCTTAGAAAGAGCTCCTGGAGAGTAGTGGTTCTCAAATGGGGAAAACATCAGGCAATGTCGACACTGCTGATTGCTGCCACTTGACGGGGGAGAGAGGGTTAGAGAGTGGGTGCCACTAGGGTCTAGGGCACAGAGGCCAGAGATGCTGCCGTACATCCTATAAGGCCCAGGACAGCTCCCGCAACAGAGAATTATCTGGCCCCAAATGTCAACAGTGCTGAGAAGTTGAAAAATATTGAAACCAAACCAAAGTTGAGAAACTCTGATCTAGAGGCGTCAGAGAGGAAGCCTTTGAGCAAAGGTTGGGGGAGGTGGGATGGCCATGTAGTGAAGTAGCAGATGGTGGAACCATAGAGACACCAAGCCATGCCCCCATACCCTAATCTAGAGGGTTCTCTCTCCCAACTCATGACAACCCATCTTCTGACATACGGCTGACCAGCCACAACAGATGTAAGAATCACAAAGTTAAAATCTTAAAATGTTAACCACGGAAAGGGTGCTTAGAGACCCAGTGTAACCCCTCAGGATTACAGATGTGGACACTGGGCCAGAAAGAGAGGGAAGTGAGGTCCTGCCCCAGCTCTGGAACACAAGCCCCTAACGCACAGCCCAGTCCTCCTTCTTGTGTTTTATTTCTGATATCTAGGAATCCAGTAACCTTTTGAACATCTCTTCTCCAGGGTGGATGAGTTGAAAACTGTTCTGCAGCTCAGAGGTTTGCCAGGTATTTCTGTAAAGGATCAGACAGTAAGTAGTTTAGGCTTTGTAGGCCATGCAATTTCTGTCGCAAACACTCAGCCCTGCGGCTGTAGTGTGAAATCAGCCACGGGCAAGGCGAACCTGCGTGAGTGTAGCTCTATGTTCCAATAAAATTGATTTATGGACACTGAATTTAAATTTCATATAATTCTCATGTGACAAAGCACATTATTCTTTTATTGTGTTTCTGCCACTTAAAAGTGTAAAAACCATTCTTAATATTTAGTTCTCGGCCATACGAAAGGTGGGGGGCAGCGGGGCAGGGACAGGAAAAGTGTTGCTAGATTTGGCCCATAGGTCAAAACTGCTGATATTATAGCAAATCCCTCTAGCTTGCTTTTTTTTTTTTCCACCTTTTATAATTATAAATCCCATTTGGGAACTGAAGGTAGGTCCCTGTATTCTAGCATGGAAAAACTTCCAAAACCTAGTGAAAATAAAGTGAAAACCATATGTACAATAGAATCCAGTTCTGTTCAAGGTAAAACAAAGTTTTCTATGTCTGTGTGTAGACATACACGTACGTATAATGACACAGAGGAAAATTTAGAAGAATATTCATGAAATCGATACCAGGAATTACGTGGGGGAGGGAAGGAAGATTGAGGAGAATGGGTCAAGGGAGCCCTTAAAGTGTTCCTATTTTTTTTTAAGGAGAGTATATTTATGTATTAGTCCTGTAATTCTTTAAAGTTTTAAATTTAAAAAGGGTTAATGTGTATGTCACACTAGGGTTAATGCTCATCTTACACTAGTTTGATAAATTTGTCCCTGACCTCCCCCCAAAATCGAGCCCTTCCTTGCTGTTTTACCTAAGGGAGTTGGGGAACCTCCCACAAGTAGAGAGAGGCTCCAGGCCTTGGGGGTTTTCTGGTCATTTTCTGCTATTTGGGGGTGGGGAGGTGAAGAATGCCCTTACACTAAATTAAGTGGCGGGGGGTGGAGAGAAAAGAAATAAAACAACCACAGTAGTGCTCTTTCTGCAGGGACACTTGCGGTCCAGGGTCCTTGGAGGATCTGACTTTGGAAGCCAGAGGGAGAAGGGAGCTGGAGAAGGCTGCACAGCCTGGGCCCCCAGGGGTCTTGGGGGTCTTGGCGCTCTCTCTCTCTCTGCAACCCTGCAGCCCATCAGCCCATGTGGTTGCAATCATGAAGCTGAAGCCGGGCGCCTTCCGCCCTGCAGAAGCCCAGAAGCTTGGGTGGCCCTGTGACTTCTTTGTTAGCGAGGAGCTGGGCCCCATGGGGGCGGCAGCCTTCCCCTTTCTGTGACATTCCGGAAATTATGCGGCAGCCCCAGGCCACGAGGTCCGGGGCTGCCTGGGGCCGCTCTGGGTCCCTGGGGAGAAGTAACCCTGAGACCTCCGGGCCAGCACAGGCCAAAGCAAACAGTGAGCACATGTCCCCAGCGCAGCCTCTGGTGAGACTGTTCTTTCTTCGGGAGATGGTCATCTCCCCCGGGGACCCCGCAGGCAACACCAGGCTTTTCTCCTCTCACTCCTTCTGCCCCTCCCTGCTTCGAACTGGTTTCCTCTGAATGTGATACCACAGTTGTGAACTTCCCATGTGGGGTTTGAAGGGTCAAGTCCACATTCCCAATGTGGAAGGTTAATTTGCTTTTCTAGTAAAGAAGGGTTGCATGGACTAAGGGACTCCAGGAACTGGACAGGGGAGGTTTACTTATCCAGTTTGGAAGGTGGACAAATCCTGTCTGTCGGTGTAGGCTGCTGGTCACTTCTAAAACCCAGGGTTGGTGGAATGCCGCCCATAAATAAGATTCCACTTAGGGCAAGTCATTAGTTAAAGTTACACTTTGGGCCCCACATTTCTGAAGTATTGCTTCAAAGGAACAATCTGGGTTCCAGCCACGAAATGTTGCACAGGAAATGCAAGTCTGTGGGCAATCTTCTTAATTCAAGGCAACCCAATACTCCTGGAAAATACTCCTGTCTCTGACAGACACCACATTTTGGACTTTTTTCCACCATTCTATCATCTTGCGGTATAACCATCTCTCCTTAGCTTGACCATTCATACCTATCGTTTGTAGACTCTGCAAATCAGGGTTGCCATTTTCACAGAACTACCTTACTTTTTCGGACCGTCAGCATGAACGTCGCAACGATATTTGGCAACTTTCTTGAGTATTTTGCTATTCAACTCGTTTTTTTTGTTGTTGTTGTTGTTTTTTAAGTAGGCTCCACGCCCCGTGTGGGGCTTGCATTCACGACTCTGAGATCAAGAGTCCCATGCTCCACTGACCAAGCCAGCCAGGCATTCTGTATCTTGTTATTCTTGAGGTAAATAAGGAAAAGGGGAAATTTCACAGGATCAAAACCAGTTCATTTATTTATTGCCGCTTTCAGATTTATTGCAGCTGGCTTCCATGATCCAAGACCCTCTTTGCAGTTCATTTGTCAAACACTGCGAACAGAGCGGTGGTGCTGGAGTGTGAACATGAACACAGGACACCCTCACTTACAAACTCCTTGGGCTCCCCGTTGCCCGTGCATCAGGGATACATTCTGATCTCCTTATATGTCATGCACACTTTTCCTGGTCTGGCGCTATCCTACATTTCCAGCTCATTTCCAGTCCTTAGGTCCTGTCAGTTCTCTACTGCAGTCCCTGGCAATGTTTCATCTTTCCCTGAACATTTCTCCAGGTCATCCCAACAAGTCTGGAATGCCTTCGTGTGCGATTAGAACGTCATAGCACAGAGAAATAGGAAACGTTGTGGTAACAGCTATTTAGGAAATGGATTTCTCCATGTCCCACCCTCCAAACAGCTTCCCCTGTTCCACATGTAAGTGGGATCGTACAGTAATTGTCTTTGACAATTCCCCAAAGTAATCGTTCATTTGCTGAGTCCCTGTGTAAGGGCCTCTGCCCACTTCCCAGTCTGAGTCCTGTGTGGGGCTGAATCAGTCTGGAGGAAGATACAAATCCTGTCTTTCTGAGTTTACTCAGAAAGGTGCTATTTGCACCAGCAGAGGCCCTGGCTCTGTACTTACGGTTAGCTCTGCTCCTTCCTGAGAGCTTTCTGCTATACACGCCCTCCCTCTTGCTAGGATTATTACTTTCTTTCCACTTTTGTACTCATTATATCAGCTAAGTTGTCTTTCATACTTCGTGCTTTAAAACAAGCCCTGCGGGGCGCCTGGGTGGCTCAGTTGGTTAAGTGACTGCCTTCAGCTCAGGTCATGATCCCAGGGTCCTGGGATTGAGCCCCGCATCGGGCTCCCTGCTCAGCTCTCCTTGTGCTTGCCGCTCCCCCTGCTTGTGCGCTCTCTCTCTGTCAAATAAATACATGAAATCTTAAAAAACAAAACAAAACAAACAAACAAAAAGAACAAGCCTTCCTGTGATTAATCCTTACAATAGCCACTACTGTGAAATAGGGACTATTATTAGGCAATTTATGGATAATTAAACTAGGTTTAGTGAAGTTAAGGATCTTATTGAGGGCACATTGTAAATGGCAGCATGAGAACTCCATTCTGACCCAAGCCCATTTTGGTGACCATTCTCCACACTGTTTTTAAACCTACTATTTTAAGAGTTTGAGGGAGTAAGTTTGGGGCTTATTTTGTTGTTATTGTCTGTTTGTTTTGTTTTGTTTTGGCTCCTAATCTTCAGTACATAAAATTAAGCTAAGAGGAGTTAACTATTCCCTCCAAGACTCAAAATATTCTTTTCCATATTTGTTGTCTAACCTCTGTGGCTACCAGAAAATCAATCTATTTTCCTTCCTTCCTTCCTTCCTTCCTTCCTTCCTTCCTTCCTTCCTTCCTTCCTTCCTTCCTCTTTTTTCTTTAAAGATTTTATTCATTTATTTGAGAGAGAGAGAGCAGAAGGGTAAGGAGAAGCAGGGAGCCCAGTGGACACTGGGATCATGACCTAAGCCAAAGGTAGCCGCTTAACCAACTGAGCCATCCAGGCACCCCACCAGAAAATAGATCTTAATGGAACTGACAGGGCAAGTGAAATTTCTGTACCCTTTATATCTGAGGGAGGAGAACAAAGAACTAGAACTGAATGGTTGAACTATTTGCAGAGAGGAAAAACAATCATCTAGATCCTATTTTGGAATGATGTATATTATTTTTGATATCCATTTGAGGAAGAAAAACAAAGATTTTGGAGGTCTTAGCACATTTTTTAGCTGGATAGGAGTATCATATGCACATGGATACCGTGATGGTGTTTTAGAAGCAATTTTTTTTTTTTAGATTTTATTATTTATTTGAGAGAGAGAGAGAGCATGGGGGAAGGGCAGAGGGAGAGGGACAAGCAGACTCCCCGCTGGGCAGGGAGCCCGACTACGACTGCATGGGGCTCGATCCCAGGACCCTGAGATCATGACCTGAGCCAAAAGCAGCCGCTTAACCGACTGAGCCACCCGGGCACCCCTAGGAGCAACTTTCAACCAAGTTTTAGATTTGTGGACTATTTTCTGACCCATGAACTACTTTTCTCTCCCCCCAAATCTTCCATAGTTCAACCCCCATCACTCAGAATGCTTGCTCTCCATTTCTCTGCTATTGCAGAGGACACGGGAATGATGCCGGTCACAGTGGGTTCCTGCCAGGGAAGGTGGGCTTACTTCTGTCTGGCTGAGAGTATCACTTAGGGGCTTTCATCTGGTGTAAAAGGAAGTGTGCTGACCTGGTTCTTCTCCCTCCTGATCTGCCCAGACACCATCCAGCCACACCATTTTTCTTCTTAACGCTCACTGCTCCAATTGCAAGGAATTTTTTTTCCTTTTTAACTTTGCCAAAGCTTTCCAGAGGGCAGGACCAAGCTCCTGAGCCTCGATGCCCTGGGGCCGCTTCCCAGCACCTCTGAGGCTGTTCTGAGGGATGCTGGTGGCTGGGAACTGATCTTTGTCACAAAAGGGCCAGTCCCAGGCCTCCTGGGGGCACTTACCCCCTGTGGGTTCCGCTGCTCAGGACCCAGAGTTTCACATTTCTGGAAGGTAGTATTCTCTACCCCCACCTCTAACTTTCCTTACCTCCCTCTTGAATACTTGTATTTTCTCACCGTCTGCATTCCTAGGAAGGGAGTGCCCCCACCCAATCCTGCCTCAGCAGGCTCGCTCTTTTCTGAGTGTGGGCAGCGTCTCCTCTCTGCGGCTTAGTGGTTTCCAATGCAAAACAGAGTGGAAGATGAAATTCAATCCTTGGTTCTCTAAATTATATTTCTTTCTCTAGTATTTTGGGCCTGGAGCTTCCATGGAGGAAAAATGTGTGTTTTGGTAAAAAGGAAGGGGTGGGAGGGTTAGATGTAAAAGTGACACATAGGTTCTGGAAAAAACAGTGCCCTGGGAGTCAGAAGGCCTAGTTCCTGTCCCAGTTTTGCCATTAACTTGCCTCCATGTGACTTGACACTCAGTTGCCCTAGCCCGTCAGGTCACGTGGCTAGATGAGAGGTCGTGAGGACAATGGTTAAGACCATAAACTCCTTCCTCTCAAGGACTGGCTGGCTGTTGTGTTTAGGAATTTATTTGATTTCTCCAAGCCTCAGTTTAGCCATCTATAAAATTGGAATAAAAATTGTACCTATTTTATAGGGTGGTTGTAAGGATTAAAAAAAGACAATGTTCACAGAGCCCTTTGCAAGTGCTCAATAAAATTAATGATTAGCATAGAAGTTCCACAGGGTTCTTCCCACATCTATACATTTTATGACTCAGTTTTTAAAAAGGTCATTGATGATTAAGTTTCTAGTTATTTTTCACCTTTTAACTGGTAGTTCTGTTTCAGTTTTGGTTTTGTGCTTTTTAATAAGCTCCCTTTCTTCCAAGTGTGCTGAGAATTTTTTTTTAAGATTTTATTTTTAAGTAATCTCTACACCCAATGTGGGGCTCGAACGTACAACCCCAAGATCAAGAGTCCCATGCTCTACTGACTGAGACAGCCAGGTGCCCGAAGAATTTTTTTTTAAATCATGAATGGATCTTGAATTTATTATGTTCTTCTTCTTGATCTGCTGAAATGATATTGCTTCTCTCCTTTTCTGTAATTGCAATGATTTAAAAAAATTTTTTTTAAAGATTTTATTTATTTATTTGTTAGAGAGAGCGCATGTGCACGCGCACAAGCAGGGGAAGGGGCAGGCAGAGGGAGAAGCAGGCTCCCTGCTGAGCAAGGACACCCCCCCCCTTGCCAAAGAGGGACTCAATCCCAGGACCCTGGGATCATGACCTGAACTGAAGACAGATGCTTAACCGACTTAGCCGCCCAGGTGTCCCTACAATGATTTTTTTTTTTTTTAAGATTTCATTTATTCATTTGAGACACAGAGATACAGAGAGAGAGAGAGCATGAGCAGGGGCAGAGGCAGAGGGAGAGGGAGAAGCAGGCTCCCCGCCGAGCCAGGAGCCCGATATAGGGCTCGATTCCAGGACCCCGGAACCAC